ATGGCTCTGGCACCTCTAACATTTTGGGGTCTCCATCGAAACTCAGGTTTCATGTTCACAGCTTCACATAATGGCCTCTCAGGGCTTCCTGCACTCTCTGGGCGTTCATGCCACACTTTACCCATTTCAGTGGCTCTCTGAAACCGTGGAGGAAGATTCCAGAACCCCTCACTCCTGTTCCTTCCTGACTCTAAAGCCAGCACCACATGGATGACACTGTCAAGCTCAGCTGCTCACTTGGGATTGAGTTGCCCCCTGGAATCACATTTGTAGCAGCTTCTGTTTGTTGTTTGTTTCTAGATAATGTTTGTAATGTTCCTTTGGCATTTTTCTTTCACAAGTTGGAAGCTTAGCTGGGTGGGGTTTTCCTCAGGGGGACCCTTCCTCTTATTCCAGTGTAGATTTGTCCCCCAACAATGGCACTACTCTCCTTAGTAACTGGAGTCTCTCCTTTACCACAAGACTTAGTTGTAAAACTTACTAGTGTTCTTTTCCTCTCTAGACTACATTTTGTGTTTCTTTTTGCCCCCCCTTTTTACATTTTTCATTGTAGATCTGTAAAAGAGTGATTACTCATAACGATGGGACAGATTTTTAGGATGTCTTGAAATTTCTAGCCAAGAAATCAGAATATTACTTTTAAAATTAACAACAGACAAGTTCTTAGGACAAAGGCAGAAAGTGGCTACTCTCCACTCCCCCCTCCCTCCTGCCAAAAAGATCTCACAAGAGTGGTCTGTAGCCCAGTTGCTGGTGTTGCTCTCCTTTGGAACCATTGGAGCTTGCCTCCACAGTCCACATTGCTGTCAGTACTGTCTTTTAAGCCCCCACTGGACAGCCCATCAAGTCTTACTTGCACTATTTAACTTCCTTTTAGTCCACAGTCCCAAAGTTCTCCACATTCTTCCACCACACGGTCAGGTTCTTTATGGTTGCACTGCACTCCTGGTACCAACTGCTGTCTTAATTTCATTTCTATTGCTGTGATAAAACACCATGATCAAGGCTACTAACTTACAGAGGGAAGAATTTATTTTGAGCTGTGGATCTAGAGAGACAGGAGTTCATCTTCAGGCTGGGAAGTGTGGCAGTAGGAAGCAGGGTAGCAGGGATATCTGAGAGCTCATGTCTTGAGCTGCTATCAGGAAACAGGGAGAACACAATGAAATAGCATATGGCTTTTGAAGCCTCAGTGACGTAATTCCTCCAGTGAGGCCATCTTCCTACCCAGACAGGACCACCAACTGGGGGCCAGGTATCCAAACACCTGAGCCTGTGAGGACATTCTCTTTCAAACCATCACTCCCCTGAAAACTGAATCCCAGGCATGTTCATGGCATAACACGTGTGTAGAGGTCAGACGACAGATGTCAGGAGTTGTTCTTTCCTCCACCTTGATTAGGATCTCTGTTGTATCTGCTGTGCTGAGTACTCCAGCCTCCCTGGTTCATAAGCTTCTGATGATTGTCTGGCTCCCTCCTCACCTTAGTGGGGATTACAGATGTGCACCACCACATCCAGCTCTTTTCTTTTTTTAAACCTGTGTTCCAGGGATGGTGCCCAGGTCATCAAGTTTTCACAGGGTTATGACCTGTTGACCCATCTCACTGGCCCCCCCTTTAGCTGTAGTAGTCTTTAAACTTATCATTTATCCTGTTTATATCCCAGCTCCTTTGTTTTCTGTCCTGATCAAAGAAGCCAGTAAAGTACCTAATTACTTTTTCCTGTATTTTAGTATTGGCTTAAATATTGTTTCATCACTACTATCAGTTTTCTTTTCTCTGAATGGTAGTGAGGATTATAAGTTAAAGAGAAGACCATGCGCTAAAAAGATGCCCATAAAACAAAACAAAAACAATGGGGAAAAATTCCATCCCAACCGATGGGAAAAAAACCAAACCAAAAAACCCATAATGTAGAACACAGGCATGCACGCACTCACGCACACACACGTGCACAAACATGCACATACTTTCGGGCATGCCAAGCCATATGACCGCTCTGAAGCTCATAATTCCTCAATAACAGAAAAACAAACAAAACCCAAACCAAAACCATAACGAAATTGTTGAGGTACTAAAGAAAGAACTCAAATCCCGCTTTAACAAATGATCAGCTCTGGGCTCTTCATGGTGGTGTACTCTTTCAATCCTGGCATGAGAGGCAGAGGCAGGTGGCTCTCTGAAATCACATCAGAGTGAATTCCAGAGCTGCATAGGGAAACCTTATCTTAAAAAGCAAAAAAACAAAAAAACAAACAAAAGTGACTTCAAAGGGGATTCAAGAAGCAGAAGATTGTGGTAAGAAAGTCAGTTTGGTACCTTGATAAGAAAGCAACATGGATGAGAAGTTTGACACCACGGGAGAGGAATTTAGGGGAAAAAAAAGATGAAAGACTGAATAAATCAAGTAACAACATGCCTAAAGGATTATTTTTATTATTCATTGAAGTCTTTAATTTCTAATATTTCTGCTTTTTTTCCCTCTCTAAAATCTTAATTTTTCAGATGGGGATAGTTCATTTGGTACAGTGCTTGTCTTGCATGCACAAAGCCCTAGGTTTGACACCCGCCCCCAGCATCACATGGAAGGGAACTGCAGTTCCATAATCCCAGCCCTCAAGATTAGATTAGATTAAGTAAAAGATAAACTATCAGGGACTGAACACAAATTCCAGGGGATCCAACTCCCTCTTTTGGCCTCCACAGGTACTGCATGCAGGTGATGCATAGGTGTCCTTGCAGACGAAATGCTTACACACATACGATACAAATAAAGGTTAGAAAGTTAAGTAAAGTACATGTCTATTATATGTAACTATAAAGGGGTCTTATCTGGGAGCGGGAGAGGGAACCAGTGGGAGGAGAATGGAGGACAGGAGAAGGCAGTGGAGGTTGAATATGGTCAAAGTCCATGATCTACTTGCATGAAAATGTAACAATGAAACTCATCATTTGGCACAATAAATATATGCTAATAAGAAGCACACAAGTGACTTTGAGTTAATGTTCTTGTCAGTAACTGCTTGAAGGAGTGGGACTGATATAGAGTCTTATACTTGTATAGTGCTTAATGTTCTTAAAACTGTTTTTGCATGTGAAAAGTACTTTCCAAACATTTTTTGGTAGCAAATTATGTACCTGGATTCTGATAATGTTTTTTGAGTGGCCAGAAACTCTTGGAAGTTTGTATATATTTGTATGGGAAGTGAAGTTACAGGGAGTAGCTTTGGAGGCCGTTGGATGGATCCCTCCCTTGTAGTCACCTCGGTTTGTTTCCTTGGTAACCCTAGAAAGGGAAACATCAGCTCCGATTTCCCCAGGATTTAAAACAAGAAGAAGGTGGAGCTAGCACCTTTGTTGAGGCCTTTTAAGGGAAAATACTTCCTCCTGCTCAAAAGAACAGGCCCTACTTTTGGCCCTGGATGAGCACATGCTGTTTTGATCTGTTCCAAAGATCAGAACATTAGATACCATTTCCTCCTTCCTTAAGAGGCAATATAGGTGGTCCTCCCCATCACCTGGCTGGGAGACCACCCCACAGAAAAGCTGATTCACCTGAAGACATATTGAGGCGATGGGAAGAAGAATTTGAGTTCTAACTCAAAAGCATATGTTCTCCTTCTTTCCATCTCCCTTTCTTTGGGATCACGGCCAGAAGCCTAAGCATGCTTCCCCATCCTCTGGGGTCTGTCACTGTTTCTTTGAAGCCCTCTCCCCTTCCACCATGCCCCCACAGGCCAGTCGGCACTGCTGGAAATGCTGCCTTTCTGGACCCTAACTCAAAAAGGAACGAACGGCTTGCTTTCTTCTAGATCTCTGTTTTCTCAGTGGCTGCTGAGGTTTATAGCCTGCCCGCCCTGTTGTTTCCTCAAACTCAGAAAATGTCCTTGAGCTTCTGAGTCTCTTTTTAAATGCTTTTATTAAGAGGAATTTAAAAAAACCCCAAAAAGGGAATCTGGATTTGCCCGGTAACAGTGGTACTTAGAAATAACAGTCTTTGATAGAGAATTGTAATGGAAATTTATGTAGCTAGATGCTGTCTCAAGTGCCCAGGGATTCTTGGAAGCCCCTCTGCTCTGTGTTTGTGTCCATGTATGTTGGTGGAGGAAAGACGGAGCTTTTAAAGCAGTGGTTCTCAGTCTCCCTAATGCTGTGACCCTTTAATACAATTCCTTATGGTGACCCCAACCATGAAGTTATTTCATTGCTACTTCATAACTGTAATTTTGCTACTGTTCTGAATCGTAATGTAAATGTCTCTGCTTTTTGATAGTATTAGGTGACCCCTGTGAAAGGGTTGCTTGTTCCAAAGGGGTTGTGACCCACAGGTTGAGAATCACTGTCTTAAAGGCTTGAGGTGAGAATAAGGATCCTAGATTATTTTAGATTGGTTATTTTGGAAAATACCTATGGTATACATATATCCAGCCATGATTTTTGAGTTTAATTGGAAAAAGATAGCTACTTAAATAGAGAACCTTTAGTTATTTTCTTTGAAAACGTTTTGAAAATTGAAGAGGAAATGAAATACAGCCATCTAGTGGTTATGATGGTAAGAGCACTAAGCAATAGTTAAGTACTATGAGCTCACGTTAATGTCTCTCAAGGGTCATTATTAAGTGTTCAAGCTAATCAGCACTTATCACACAAAGGGACATATCCATTTGTCTTCCTAAATGCTTTATACATATTAATGACAGGACAAAGTCTATATGACAGTTGAGCTACAACATTGTTGCAAATACCCCAGAGGTCATTTGAACTAGTATAACATTCTAATGTTCTCTGTATAATTCTAGCTGTGCTATTTATTAATCACACGTATTATAAAAGTCACATGTACACTCTGAAACACTGTGAAAGAGATCAAAGTGTCTCCTGCCTATACAGGTTAACCTGCTGCCCTAACTGAAACAGTTTCCTCAGTGCTGTCTGTACAATAACTTTTAGTTATTAATGGCTTACAAACTGTTGAATCAAAAGTAAATTGTTTTCCAGGAGCAAGATAGTGCTGTGAAAAATATGCAGAAAAAAGTGGAACAGTTGGAAGCCGAGCATATGGACTGCTCTGACCTTCTGCGGCGACAAACGAGTGAGCTTGAGTTTAGCACTCAGAGGGAAGAACGCCTGAGGAAAGAATTTGAGGTATGGCTTATCAGTTTTCACAGTAGCTATATGTTCTTCATGTGGTGACTTCAGGGTTAGAGGACTTTGTAAGTCAGGAGAAATAGGGACCACTTCATTGTACATTTGACTTCTTTGAAAAGTTTTATATCCTAATAAAATATATTTTATTTCATCCTAATTAAAAGCATCTAGTCATTAAATTTTTGTTTACTTGTTTATTTGTGTGTGTGTGTGTGTGTGTGTGTGTGTGTGTGTGTATGGTTGTGTGCATGCCATGACACTTGGATGGCAGTCCGAGGACAACTTGCAGGGAGTTCGATCTCTTCTCCTTCCATCATCTGGGCTCTGGGGGATTAGACTCAGTTGTCAGGCGTGGCAGCAAGAATGCTGGTCCAAACCTGCTCATTGTTAGCAATAATTCTCATCAACTGTTGGAAAATTTACAAGTGATTTTTTACATTTTGAGGTTCAGGAAGCAGCACTGGAGAAGGTTTGGTATGCACAGGTCTTAAGTGATAAAAGTAACACACACTTCTGTTTTTGTGATTATGATGATTTACTTTATTTAGTTTTGCAATACTGAGGATCAAACCCAGGGTCTGGTACATGCTAGGCAAGTGCTTTTTCACTGAGCTATTTCCTCAGTTCCATTTTAGATTAAGGTAGTTGTAGAGGAAATGGCAAGATTTGGGTATGTTTTGAGAGAATCAGCTGGGTTTGCTGACTTACTGGGTTGTGAGAAGTAATGCCAAAGATATTTGTTAATGTTAACCACTAGTAGTTTATAATTAATAATGTGTGTGTGTGTGTGTGTGTGTGTGTGTTTACACATGTGCACACGACTTCCAAGGCATGTGTATGTTGGGCAAAGATCAGCTTGCAGGAATTGTTTTTTCTACTGTGTGGGTCTTGGGATTCCAACTCAGGTCCTCAGTCTTGGCAGCAAGCACCTTTACCTGCTGCTCAACTCTCTCACACCTGTTTTGTTTGTTTGTTTGTTCATTTTTTTATTTTAGATACAGGATTTCACACTCTAAACCAGGCTGGCTTAGAACTTACTGTGTAGCCAGACTGGCCTTGAACTCATGACAGTCCTCTTACCTCAGTCACTGAGATTACAAGTGTGTGCAACAGACCCTGCCATCAATGCTAAATAAAGAAAGGTGACTGGCATTTCCATTTCCTGAGTGAGAGAGGCTAAGCATGACATGCCTGTTAACTGTCTGGTGGAGAGATCAGGCAGCCAGTTGAAGAGGCGGCCTGGGGCTTTTGGAAACTTTACTGTGTGGGGTATTTGGAGATTTTCAAATGCTGCAATCCAGGACTCAGCACTTCTGTAATTTCTCCTAAGAGCCATCTCTTAATTTCTAGCTTGGTTGTTATGAAGTACAAGAGGAAATGCAGTATGGTGTCATACCTTATGCAGTCTTGCCTCTGATTTAAGTCTGCATTTTTCCTCCTTTTTTCCCTGTGTATTTCTTTGTCTAGCCTCTGGTTTAGGTTTCTTCTCCAGCGTGTGTGTGTGATGGTTAGGAAGGGGCAGTTGTTTGTGGTAGGGGTGGATGCATAAAGGTCTAACTTTTCATATTGCTGGTTAAAAAATTTGAGATTTAATTTGCATATGATAAATTTACCCATTTGAAGTTTACAAGTTACTGGTCTCCGGTGCATTCACAACATTGTTCAATTATCACAATCAATTGTGTAATGTTTTCACCACCCCGGTGAGGAACTTCATCTTCATTAGACACCTCTGCCTATTTCTCCATCCCTTGGGGCCACAAGCAACCATTAATCTGCTTCCTTTTCTTGTAGACTTATCTTCTCTGATATTTCATACATGTGCAGTTACAATATTTGGCCTTTTGTGGTTGACTTTTTCAGTTAGCATAATATGTGCAGTGTTTAGACATGTTATAGCATGTATCATTTTTCTGTTCCTTCTTATGACTGAATGATATTTTTTCATACATTTCGTCTTATAAATGCATATATTAGTTGATAGACATTTGTGTTATTTCTGTATTTTGGCTAATAGTGACAATATTGTAATAAACATTTATGTCTAAGTTTATGAGGGTATATTGTCTTGGATGTATACCTAAGGATGGAGTTGCTGGGCATGATAGTTGGCCTTAGTTATTGATTTGACTGGGTTAAGGGATACCTAGGACTGTGACTTGCACCTGTGTGTTTGTGGGAGCATTTCAAGGGAGGATTGGCACAGGGGTAGGGACTGGGGAAAGGACTTGCTTTGAATGGGGTGGCACCTTAAAGTGGCAGGCTGCCTAGATGAGGAGGGCATATCAGAGAAAGACGGTACCTGAGGCTTCAGGCCCCCTTTCTGAGTGTCTGTGTCTGTGGCACACTGACCTCACACTCCACTTCTTTGCCCTTTAAACGGGATTCAAAAAGACCTCTAGGAAGCTGGTTGACTTTCAGCACTGGCCCGGGAGTGCTGAGGTGCCTGTTCTTAGCCTTCTTAGTGTGTAGATAGCCATTACAACCCAGCTCCTATTGTTTAAACCAACCAATAAATCTTTTTATGATATACATGTATTCTATTGGTTCTGTTCCTCTGGAGAGTCCTGGCTAATACACCAGATCACATGGTAATTTCCTGGCTTTGAGGAGCAGTCAGATTGCTGTACACTATTTCATATTCCCAACAACAGTGCATTGACTGTTCCACTTTCTCCATGTTCACCAGCCTAATTAATGCCAGTCTTTAAAATGATAAATACCACAATGAGTGTAAAGTGCTGTTTCATTTATCATGAGGTTAAATATCACGCCATGTACTTATTGGTCATTTGTGTATCTTTTTTGGAGAAATATCTGTGCAGTCCCATTTTTCAGTTATAGAGTGGGTTATTTGTACCACACTAATAAAAGATGTGTATAGTGGCCGGGCGGTGGTGGGCACACCTTTAATTCCAGCACTTGGGAGGCAGAGGCAGGCGGATCTCTGTGAGTTTGAGGCCAGCCTGGTCTACAGAGTGAGTTCCAGGACAGCCGGGGCTACGCAGAGAAACCCTGTCTCGAAAAACAAAACAAAACAAAACAAAAAAATGTGTACAGTGAGGGAGCTGGCTGTATAATATGTAGGAATTCTCTTTGGTAATATGAAGTATGAACTTTGCAAATATACAGTTACATGCTCACTAGAAATAAAGTAATTTTATATGGTTAAAGAGTATGTTTAAAAATCAGATTATATTCTAAGTAACACTTTAAATTTATTTTTCACATGTGTTGAATATCTTTTCTGGCTAATAAAGGCTGTATGATGATTTTTTTAAAAGTTTTTTGAGACAAGGTGTAACCCTGGCTGTCCTGGAACTCACTCTGTAGACCAGGCTGGCCTTGAACTCACAAAGATCTGCCTGCCTCTGCCTCCTGAGTGCTGGGGTTAAAGGCATGAGCCACCACCACCCGGTGATATTTTATATAATTTAAAAATACTATGTAGTTTTATGTGGCTTGTTAAAAAGGTTGGTGTGGAGTAAGTGCTTTGAATATTAGAATAAAACAATGTAGATGCCAATTAGGAGTCTATCAAACGCTGTGCTCACCTTTAAAAACATTTTGATTACTTTATAGTTGTGAAACAGCATTAGGTAGTAGTGGGTTTCTTTTTGTTGCTCATTTAATCAATTAATTTAATACTTAAAATTATTTATTTTTATTTTATGTGTATGACTGTTTGTATGCATATATATATGTACACCACATGCATGCCTGGTACTCTTGGAGGTCAAAAGTGGGCATTGGAACCCTTGGAACTAGAGTGATTGATGTTTGTGAGCCACACATGGGTGCTGGGAACTAAACCAGGGTCTTCTGCAAGAGCCATGAGTGCTTTACTACGGAGCTCTCTCTCCAGCCCTACACTATTTGCTTTCCTTAATTTTATATATGTATGTATGTATGTATATATGTATGTATGTATGTATGTATGTAGTGTGTATGTGTGTGTGTGGTTGTGGGTGTGCATGTGCCATAGCACATGTATAGAGCTCAGATGCCAACTTGCAGGAGTTGGTTCTCTCTCTTTCTTCTGTGTGCATCCTGGGGCTTATACACAGGTCATTATTCTTGGCAGCAAGAGCCTTTACCTGCTGAGCCCTCTTACCAGTCCTGCTGCTAATTTTAAGTAAGCCACTTTTGACTTATCGGAGAAAGAGTTTAATGTCTAAACTTTAACATGTGTCTATGGGTAATTCTATATTGATTTTCCCCCCATGTAAAGTATTTAATTGCTGTGATATTGATTGACTTCTGCTAAGGGCTAAAGTTATTTTAGGTTGATTTTGATTTTTAATTTGATAAAAATTTAAATTAATTTTATGTATTTCTGTATGTATTTCATATATGTATGTGTGTTTTGCTCTCATGTGTGTCCATGTACCACATGTGTCTCTGATACCTGCAGAGACCACAGGAGGGCTTTGGATTCCCTGGAACTGAAGTTACTGACCATTGTGAGCTGCCACATAGATATGAGGAATTGAACCCAGATTCTGTAGAGGAGCAGCCAGTGCTCTTAACCAGTCCTAACCAGCTAACTTTAGACTGATTCATGGCTGTTCTTAGTTATGTGGTATAGATTTTTGTTCCTATAGGAAATACATGAAAGAAGCACCTCTAAGGAGGAGGTACATATTTGGGCTTAGGGTTTGCCGATGTAGTTCATCACGGCAGGGGAGCACGGGACCGGTTCCTAGCTGACCTGGAGTCTGAGCTAGCTTGTCAGGAAGGAGAGGGAACTTGGCAGAAAGGGCTGTGCTGTGCTGCACAAAGCTTCCCCAGAAACCCACTTCCATTAGCAAGGTCCTGCCTCTTATAGCTCCCACAGACTTCCGGGGCAGTGTCTCCAGCTGGGAACAACGGTTTTCTTTCTTTCCTTCTTTTTTTCCCCCTACATTTATACACTTCTGTGGTGTGTGTATGTGTGTACCTGCACCTGCCACTGTGTGCATGTGGAGATCAGAGAGCAACTTGTAGGAGTCAGTCCT